CGCGGCGCTGCGGCAAAGAAGCAGTGTGTTGCGCGAGCCGAAGAGGCCCGGCTCTCATGCTGAGCGTTCAGCTGTGCGCAAGGGTACGGATTGAAATAGGACAGAACAAACTACACAGTGCACATTCTGAGAACAGTTAGCACAGCAACGACGCCACGACATGTGTCATGAGGGAACTTTACGAAATCTTCATGGCTGCAGGTCGCTGAGAAGCTTCCTCCAGGCGGATTACGCCGAAGCGCTCCGCGCCGTTTTTTTCGAATCATGTTTGATTGTCGTGATGCGAGACACTTCGGCTATTAGTGAATGAGTGACACAAACGCATTAGCCGTTGACAAGTTGACACATTGACAAGTGATCTACCAATCACAGATCATCGCCAGGTCGGTTTGCCTATAGGCTGCATTAGGTTTTCCTTGATCCGATTGAATGCGGAAAGCTTGGCACAGGAGCTGCGAAAGGTCTGCAAAATGCAGCACCTTCAGGTGAGGAGTGGGGAGACGGTCGATGACAGGGCCACTACCCATATCAAGAGGTGTTTTCCTCACATAAACACTAAAATCAATTTACTGCTTAGTTCCTTACTTTTCACATACCATGGCATGGCTTCTTCAGTTGTCTCCTGGAAACGAATGGGAAAGTTTCTCGGATCGACTGTCTTTTCGTGGCTCAGGCCCGGAAGGCATTGATCCAATAACCATGGAGCGGCTTCTGTGGGGATCTGAAGTGAAACATAGAGACTGACAGTGAAGCACTTCAAGAAACATACCCTGTGAACTTTAATCCAATTTGATTCTCAGAGATTAGATTTTGGTCGAGGGCAGTCGGTGAGTTGTAATACAGCGTCCATCCAGATGGTCCCCCCTTAATTTCTATGATAGACTTCCATGCAGATGGTCGCCCCTTGAACCAAAAGCAATGTTTCGGTGGATTGTGAACGTCCGCTTTCGATCTTCCCGGTCGGATGGATATGTGGTCGTCACTGAGGAGCCAGGTGCAAAAAGGTGGTCCTTCGGTACAAAACGAAGCGCTCGTCGCAGTGACAGGCCACTGGAACGGCGTAGAGTTATGAAGACACAGATGTAATGATATTTGAGATGTATAGAAGGTATCAGACTTTTCTTTTTTCACATGTTCTCCAGAGAGCTGGTTGAAAGGTTTTGATCAGAATCCTTTTGATGAAGGACTTCTTTTGACAGACTTGGAAGTGCATTGTTTGTTTTGTGTTTTTAACCATCGGATGTTTGCGATGTCCCAGGCCTTCCGCCACAGCATGCGGCAAAGCTCTTGGAGTTTGCCCTTGAGAAGTCCAAGGACACCCGCTTCGTCGAATCGGGGATCTGGCGAGGTGGAGGTGAAGAGTCGAAGCAGAACAGTAAGCTTAGATAAAGGATCTTAGCCAAGTATCATTGTCCTGCGAAGGTCTGCGGAGTGTGAAGAAGAGTAAACACAACAAAAGCAAACAAACTCTTCAAAAGCCATGCAAACTGTCAAAGCATCAACAATATACGTGCTATTCATGCTTATTCTTTTTTGTAAGTCATGGTATGTGGTTGCCCCATCCAGGAGCTACGGGACCCGTCGATGTATATGGTGTCCACGGTGGCAAGGCCAGTGCGTCGTTGGGGAGACAATGCTTTCGTGACCCGTCGGATTGTATTCCGGGTGCAGAAAGGTGAGTCGGGCGACGAAATCCATACTCCGGTGGTGTAGGACGCCGCTCCAAAGAGAAACTAGAACTATGGTGCCGAGCGAACATAGAAACATATGATTTGTTGAGCTTACGAAAGCTGATGCTTCAACAAAAACGTACATAGGTTTGTGCTCTGGCTTGTGTTTTGCGCTTGTTAGTTTCACAATCCATGTGGAGCAGAGTCTGATTCTAGCCACCAAAAAGAACATGTATTGCTTTGCAAGAGTGGCTCTTTCTTTACAGTTTACCTGCGTAGACCATTTACATCCGCACCACCTGGCAGGGGCTTCAAGCCCAGATGGCACGCCAGGGTCTCAGATTTGGCAGAATTGCGGGCAAGTTACGGAGTTGCAGGAACTTTTGTTTAACGCTCAAATCAACATATTTCTGGCGGCCCGACATGGACAAACAATTCAATCAATGCGCCCTGGGCGTTTCAGAGTTGCACGCTGAGGAAATGGTGGAGGCCTCTGTCCCTTCCAAAGGATGGTTCGACGCGTTGCAAAGACGCAAGGATGATTGGCATGCGAAAATGACGGAGACATTCTTTTAACTCTTTCAACCGTATGATCACGTGGCTTTTGGGAGCCTCATTTGTTTTGGCACGAAGCCACTCATGAATTGAATTCACCAAACACTATGTTCATATCTGCGCGGGAATCAATCCGGTTGATGGTTATCGAAAAGATTTTTCAATCGGTACCTTTGTGAGGAAAAGGCGTACAACTTGAGCTGGCGCAAGATCGAAAGCCGCAGCCTGGCTTGAACGCAAAAGCGGCCGTACTCTTTTGAAAAGCGTAACAAGCTTTTGAACGTCATGCCAACCGTTCTAGGCTTCGGGAACCATCAGCCATCAGCGCTTGTATCCAAGGCACAAAGCCAGGAGTGTTCTACTGGGAGAATTTTCACACAGGCCAGAGATCAGTGGACGACGCTTTGGCTGATTCATTAGTTGCAACGCATGCTTCCCAATATACATGTGCAATAATTGAACAATGAAAAACAATGAGAAACCGATCTAAGGACCCGCGACGTCCGGTTTCTCCTTCCCCTGTGCGTGGTGGCATGGGCAAATGAGACCTGTGCGCGCTAGTGAGAAATGTGCCGGTGCTTTTCATCCGCAACGAAATGTTACCAAAAGGTCCCTGCCACATATATATATATATATACCTACAACCCACTCTAGAACCACCATGTAGTGACATGTATTGACTCCAAAGCAGGGGTCACTCAGGTTCTGGGTACGGTATATTTTTTATGTCCATGTTTTCATTATGTCCCGCATATGTTTGCCGGGGGAGTTTGTAGTTGGGGCCCTTCCTTTCTGGAAAAAAGAGGAAAAGCAACGCTGAGTCTTTGAGTCGTAGGGTCCCCTCAGCCCATTCCATTGGAGGCCCAAACATCCTGTAACAGACCTTTCTGACAGATCGGGACGACCCAAGAACCGGAAAACTGGACCCACAACAAGTGACTTGGATTTGCGGCTCCCAGGAACCTGGAAAAGGTAAAACATATTCCCTATGCCAGGGAATTTCACTGGAAAATATCAAATCACCTCAGCAAAACCAGGGTGATCAAGAAGGATCAAGTAAAGGTGGCATGAAGTTGTTCTTCCTTTTTGGGGGTCCGCAGAGTTGCGATGCTTCAGCGTCACTGTGCTTCAACATGTGTTCCCGGAGATCCTCCGAGAGCCAGAATGATTCCGCTTGTCCTTTCGGTCAGTAAGGGATATTGAGTCTCAAGGTCAATGACCCTTGAAATGGACCATGTCACCAGGAGTGCTTAGTGCTTGGAAGACGGGGGCCAGGAAGACGTGCACGCCGTGCACGCATCGCGTGTGACGCGTGTTGTGTTGTGCCGACATCCCCACTCGTCGAAGGAAGGAGACGGCCAGTTCTTTTGCGGCCACGTCGTGCTTGAGTGAGTAGGGCCACGTCGGGCTGATCTTCGATGTGTCAAAGCATGTGTATTCAATCCTGTAGTCTACACCCTAGGGCGACTTCACCATATCCTCAGGTTTGGTGGTTAGACCCCCTTCTCAGGGGGTAGTTTTTGGAGCCCTAGCAACAGAGTCACCCCCATTGAAGTGCAGTCTTGAGCTAGTCCGATAGGTTAGCCGATCCGGTTTGATATGCTTTGATGGCGGGAAACATCAACAACATTGCCGGAAGAAAGGGCTGCCATTCAATCAAGTAGACCACAGAAGTAATTACCACTCTTGGCACCATGGGACAGGGGCAACAAACCCAATCACCTCCAGGCACACTCCCTCGAATCAGAGGTGGATGGCACCACTGGTTGGTAGAGGATTTCATGGTCATCAAAGGAGTCAAGCGGCCATCCATGTCAGGGAGTGCACCAAGATTTTGAGAACAAGTTGAGAACCAAATCTCTGCAGAATCGAACATCCTGAGATCCTCCTCAGACCCTCCTCCAACCCCTGCCAGGAGACTGCCAGCTCTTCCAAAAGGGAAAAAGATCCTGAATGGGATGGGATGGGGTGTGACCCAAAAACGCATGCTTTGTTCAGGTCAATTGTCTCAGAAGGCCTGACGGACCAAAAAAGGGATATGGAATGTGGATTTCCTGTACCAGGAACCCCAGGGTCCTACTTACCATGTGCCATCTGCCGCGCAGCGCGTGGAACTTGGATATGGAACTTGCATGAACTTGCGGCAAGCCGTCCCAGCGCCCTTGGACTTACAGTGGTTTCAGAGTAGATGGCACAATCCCCAAGTTTGGTGGGCTTTATGGAGCCCATATCAAAGACATCTGTGGGGTGCCAGTGCCATCAAACCTCTGAAACCACTGTATCTGGGGGAACTCGGAATGTTCCAAGTTGCATAGGTTCCAAATTCAATTTTCTCATGATTTGCCGGAAAATTTTGGAGCCTCTTCTCGGGGATCAATGACTGGTGCGGATGACATGTTATGTTGACTGACCCACACGAGAGATTCAGAACTACGAAGATCTCTATTTTCGTCTTTCAATGTCTAGTTCTAATTGACGTTAATTCGGTGGAAACATGATTTCTTCTCTTTGGGGGGGCATCTGCATTTGTTCTACTGCAACCTCATGTCACACAACACCACCCACTTCTCCGAGCCATCCCCTTCTCCAAAGCATTTCAACGTTGCCTTGAAGCAATTTGCAGCCCTTTGGGATATTTTGCGGAAGTTGCAGGACATCAAGTTCACCCCCACAAATAGCAGCTATCCCTCCTCTCAACCTTCGCTTTGCTCGGCCGGACCACCGGGAATACCGGGACCACCGGCGTCCGGCGTCCGAGCGTCGGTTGGTGTTCCATCATCCTGTGGTCATGGTGGAGCCGGGTGCCATCGTCGAGCCCGGAGGAAAGGTGCTCAACGTCTCGTCATCAGCTTTGCTACGGATGGCCTCTTGCCTTGGGCAACGGCCGGATGGGGCTGGGTGATGGAGGGGGCTGGGTTAAGAGTCGACTTGGGAGGGAAAGGTGTGAAGATGCCACTCTCATTGCATGCTGCTTGACCAGCGATTTGGGATCCAATGCCGCATGAACCAACTTTCTATGCTACTAGTAAGGACGGTCGTCCTCATCGCTCCAAACCAACTATACGAGGGGAGCCACTTTGGAGAATCCTAGCGCAACCCTGGTAGGACCTCTCTTGGACTTTCGCTTTTGGGGCTTCCTGGGCAGCATGGCTTCCTTTTTCCTTTTGTATTCGCCCGCCCTTCGCAGTGTTCAGGGTTCTTTTTGTCTACCTTCAGATGACCTGGAGCAATTGTGTCCACTCCAAATCCAGGATGTCTATCAAATAGGGAGACTTTCCAGGCGGAAAACCGACCGAAAGCCAAATGGGTCCAGGGGGGGTTGAGGGGGTCTCCCTAATCGAAAACATAGCTTCCGGCCTGTCCCAAACCCACCAATCCCAGCGACACATCCGCCAGGGTCATCGTGGGCGGCTGAGCGGGGTAGGCCGATGAGCCATCGTCCGCTTCCTTGGATTTCGCCCAGCTCCTCAGTTTTGGAGCGCTTTTCTTGGAAAGTGCCCCACTGTCAGCTACTTGGCCGACATAGGCCCTGACAAATAGGTGTTCTGGATGACAGTCGTCAAAACCAGGTGCGACGATCAGTGCACCACACGCGTGTCGGCGTCTAAGTCACTGGGCTCATTTCGTGGTACGCAAAAGACCTTTGAAGACCTTGAAGTTGAGCTCTTCAAAGGTCTTTTGTATCACTTCAAGGTCCGTCCCTCGTCAACCCAAGAAGGTCTCCATGTTGGCAAGTACATGCAGCCACCTTGCCAGCTTCTGGGGCACGAACTATCCAAATGGTCATACATGGGTCATCGGTTCGAGCACATGGAGTCTGAAAACACAAACGCTCGGGCTCCAGTCGTACCTTCGTTTCGAAGGTGGGACTGGGGTGGGTGCCAGAAGCGTCCACTTGCGATCTTCGAGGACTGGAAAGCAATTCCAGAAGTTGGATCGTGGTCCTGAAGTTCGCCAAGACACAGAACTTGGGGCCAAGTGAACAGCCTCCAGCACCCAGCGAAACATGCTCATTGACATCTACAGCCCAAGGGGCATGTCACACCCAGGCGCTGGACTAGTCATCCTAGACCTTCCGTGTAACGATCTCCTTGCATCGGGCACCCGCAAAACGCCAGGTCGGGACGGTGGTCGGACACTTCTTACTGTGGAGCGTCTGCTTGAGCTCCTCGTTCAATTGCCGGAGGATCTCAGTATCGGCCATGCCCTGTTCCTGCCGAAGCGGAGCCAGGCGAACGCAGGTCTGGCAGGTCGTACTTCCACAGCCTATTATGGATCCACATACCTTCTCCTTCATGAAGGTGGATCAATTGGGCCTTTGCAGCTTTGGGGGGCATCCCTCGGTCCTGGAGCTGCTGTGCACCAAACAAAAGACGCTGCTTCAGTCGTGCACTGCTGCATGCGCGAGGAGAGTTACTATAAAAAGAAGTGCAACTTGTCCAACGATCGCTATCAAAACTCCTCTTCTGAACCCCTGCTAGCTTCTCCGGTATGCCTCCCTCTGGGTGTGTTCTTTCATATCAGAAACATGAATGAGCAGTTCGAGCGACACCGTGTCGCTCGAACTGACCCACACGCAACCCACCTGAAGATTCACGTTCCATGGAAGTGGATGGCATGGTCCCTTGGAAGGCTATTCTCCTCTAGAAACAGGGGGTTCTCCACTTCCATGTTTGTGAGTCAAAGGATACTGTATATTACCCAAAAATACGGGCATCATGTAGATTATTGATTTATAGACCCTCCATATCAAAAGGATGTTCCAACTCAAATGCAACCCAAACACTCCAATCAGTGTGTAATTAATATGAGCATCCGAGACCACCCGGATGTAGGCATGCCAGTCCCATGGAGTCTTTGGGTGATATCTAAGAATAAGATTATATACCTGGACCCTCCTGTCGGGGTGTCCTGGCTGGACTACCCCACACTACCTATAGGCTTCCAGACAGGGCACCCCGACAGGAGGGTCCTGGTATATATATATATATATAAATTCGCCACACCCACGCAACCCACCGGCTGCCCCCGCCACGCAAACCCACCCCATCGGCCGCCGCCACACAACCACCGGAATGCCCACCCTTCTTCGCTTCCCATCGCCCTCTTCGAACAGCACGGCGCTCTTTGAGCGCAGGCGAGTAGACAGCGCAGTAGACGGACACGGCGACCCCCGCGCCGCGGCGCCTTGAGGATCTTGGCTCTCGCCAGGAACTCCTTGTGCTCGCTCCGCAGGAAGTCCTTGATCTTCGGATCGCTCGGCGCGGGCAGGATCGCCTCCTGAGCGGAAGAAGGCACCGCGGCACCGCGTGGGGGGGAGAGACGGGCGACCTGGGGGATCGGTGGTTGGTTTTTTTGGGCCAAGCCCGAAGGAATTCTGAGATGGCGAGTTGATCCTGAACTGGGAACCCCACTGGTTCCTAAACTCCCGAGTTGATCATACAACACCACGAACTGGTCTTGAGGTGAAGGACTCGGACGGTCTTTGGACCCAGCGAATCAGGGGTTTGGACCATGGTGTGGATCCTCCAAAAAGAGGCGACAAACGTCCGCACAAATACACATGCATGGAATATACAATCATATACATACTTCTACTATCTTCTACTTGGATTATTTGCTTAAGGAACTAGGGGAAAAAACACATATACTGGTATTCACCAGCACATTGGCCTCCGCCCCGATCAACCGTCGTCTGCCCAGCCTCGTCCAGCTCCTCCTGGAAGCTAGGCCCAGGTGCCAACGCATCCTCGGGTGGTGCGCCATTGGCGATGTGGCTGGAGTAAACCTCAGGACGAAAGTGGAACCGAACGGACGGTCTGCGAGCGGCCAGTAGCGGCGCCGCTAGCCCGTCCGGCCAGAAAGGCGAAGACAGACTGGCAGACTGGCAGGCTGGCAGTGCGACACTTCTGGTAAACCCTCACTGGTTGGTCCCTGGAAGATGGTCTTTTTCCTCTAGGAAGCGGTGGTTTCGGGGTTCCATGTTAATATTCAGGGGAGTATGATTTGCACTGTGGTAGGGGCAATGTTAGTTTGGTGAAGTGTGCCGTTCACAGTGTTCCTGACTCATCCGTGTGGTTGACAGAGATTGAGTGCAGGGGGGTGCTCATCTGCTGCTTCTGCTTCTCCCAGTAGTTCTCTTGAGTCATCCAACGCATCCAAGTGGAGGTCAAAGGGTAATGAAGCAATGATCATAACAACATATAGTGATTCCATGCGATGCCACATGCCAGTTCACCACACACATATAATATGCTCCAAACATGTGTTCTTCTATTTTTGCCTTTCTTCTCTCACTTCAAGTCCTCCTTCACACCTTCAACTGGTTCCTTCAAAAAATGGATCACCTCCTACCTCCAGCCTTAAGGCGGCTGTAGGTAGCTCCGCCGCCTAAGGGTCGCGGCGGTTTCAGCTCTTTCAGCGGCGTATAAGGGATCGACCCGGTCCGAGGGGCATAGGAGACTTTGAAGGTCTTCTTGCTGGTGCCCACCTGCTCGGACCGGTTGATCAAGGCCGGTCTCCACTCCAAGGAGTTCCCATCCGAGGGGTGTTGGAACTTGGCATAGCCGAAGCACCTGAGGCGGACGGCGGCGAGGACGGCGGCAGGACGGGGCGGTCCCGGTGGAGGCGCAGCGGGTTTTGGTGTTGCGCTGTTCACGGCGCTGTGGGGGTGCTGGCTATTGTTGCTGCATGTGGTCGTCGTCGCAGTCAGTTGTTGTCGTCGTCATTGCTGCGACTGCAATTGTTGCTCATGTCGCCAGCTGTAGGTGTCACTGTAGGTGTCATAGCAGTGGTGCAACTGTCATAGTTGTGGGGGCATGGAAGCAAGTTCTTTTGTTCTTTAAGTTTGGGGGATGTTGCTCCTTCAGAACATCAACCAGGAGTCACAAAGGGGTGGTGTTTAGTCCCCAAGTGAGTGGAGTAGCTGGGCACCCCTAACCTCCATGGATCGCACCCCTTTGTGACTGCTGGAATGTCTCACTTACGTGACTCGCAAACCTGGTTTCTGGGGAGCTTTTTTCAAAGCAATGTGATTGCACTCACTCTCCAAAATTCACCGCCAGGCTTGCGTCTGTTTCTGCCCGGGCTAATCTATATAATTAATATATGATTCTTGATGAGCATGAACCGTTATACAGGCAACCAGGTAAAGTCCCTCCGCGGAAACCACCGAACCCCGCCCAAAGTTGTCTGTTGTTGTCTGTAATGTCCTTGTAGTGGTCCCCAAATCTACAGGAACCGATGTCCAATACATGTTTAGTGGGGGGATCTATTTTGATATCTATTTGGGGGGTAGTTCTACATACCCTTCCGGGAAAACTTGCTCGCCTACTTACTGTTCTCAGAACGTCACCGGTCCGTGCTACAGACCTGCTCCTGTCGGTGAACGCCCGAAGAACGATGGACACCTCCACAGTAGAGCCGGTGCTGCTCCAGTATTCCCAGCTGAAAGATGGCTCCATGAACTATGAACCAATTTACGGGACCCGCAAGAAGCACACCCCATGGTTTTACTTGTTTAAAGTAAAATCTCTCAAGGCAGATCAACCACTGCTGTTTTTCTATGTCATGTAGTCTCAATGGTTCTTCAGTCCTCGGCAAGGCTTCCCAAAGCAACGGACCCTCGTCGCGCGCCGAACTCGTGCCTTTTCCTTCGACGCGCGCGTGTGTTCGCGAGGGATCTGAAGACGACGTCGGAGGCGAGGCACTTGTTGGGCATGTTCATATCTTGGAGGCGTTCCTGGTACTTCTTTTGCTCTCCTGGCTTTCCGGCAGGTTCTTCCAGAGTGCTCGTCAACGGTGCACGACCACCATGGAGCGAGCATCATGAAGGACTGGTGTGCAAACACTGGTGGTGTGCCAAGGCAAAGGGGCGGAAGGGGATCCGGAACCCAAAGGAGTCCGGCTCTTCACAAAGAAAGTTGTGAGTGGGAGGCCACCCACGACCAAAGCCAAACGCTTCCCACCATCTCTTAGTGAGCGCTGCTCCATCGACGGAGGGGACCCATTGTGCGGAAAGAAGCTATCCAGCTATCCATACCTTTGGGTGCAGGATGGTAATAAAAGTGGATGATGATGGTGAGACAATGCCTTTCTCTAAAACAGTGATCATACCCTAGGGCTCCAACCACCTCCTGAGACGGTGGTTGGGGTGGGTTTTGGTGGTCTAACCACCTTCTCAGGAGGTGGTTGGAGCCCTAGGGATATAACATTTCGTAGGTGACACATCCTTGTTTACGAACTGTTCGAGGTAAGTTCGGATAGACCCAAAATCCATAGCCCTGCTGCTTCATCGGGTCGAGGATCCACTCCTTCAGGACCCCCCCCCCGCCCAACCCATCACGGCTCAGCATAGCTCACACTTAGCTGGTTGGAACACCCATCACGGTCCAGCGAAAATCCCATCCCATCCCTCGCGATGGCCGAGTTCACCACCGTCTTCTTGGGCATCCGAGAAAAAGACGGAACATCAAGATACCTGGACCTGAAAAAGGGGTGTCCTGGCTGGAGGTCCCTTAAAAAAAGTGGTGGGCTGGGGCGAAACCAGCCAGGTGACCCAAACATGAAGGTGCTGGTACACATCTCGTCTTCGTTCCCCAACTTCGAACTGGTCCATCTGGTCCATGATGATTGAACCTGGTGCTTCCTTTCGTTCGATCCAAGATATCCGAGGCTCGTTCGAACTGTCTGAGTCGGTTGTTCTTCAAGCGGTACTGTTCGGTGCCATCGACCACGCGCAGGCGCTGCGCCACCGATCGACCAAAGGAGTAGATGTTGGAATAGTGCATGAAGGTGCCTGGGAGCTGCGAGTTGGGAGAACCCTTGGGAGGAGGAACCGCCACTTCCTCAGCTTCACTTGGGAGACTTGGGAGGCCTCACTTCCTCCAGTGCTTTGGATCGTTTACCCGTCCCAGGGCTCCAGTCGTGCCGTATCGTTTCGTTTGGGTAGGACTGGGGTGGGTGGGTGCCAGGAGTGTCCAGTCGTAGCTTCTGAGGTACGACTGGAGCGCTGGAGGCCTTAGCCCAAGGGTTCTTAGGGTTAATGATTATTGTTAATAACTATAATATAACTAGTGTTTATAGCCTATGGAAATTAATCATGGTGACATGGCTGGGCATGGCCTCTTGGATGAGCATGAAATCCGAAAATCAAACAGGTGGCGGTTTTCTACTTCATTCTACTTCCATGTTAGGTTTCCTGACTAAAGAGAGGTTCGCTTCCTGCAATGATCATGTAGCAGGATGGAAAGGCAGTGTAACCTTGCAATGATCCTGGAAGTGGATGGGCATGGCTGTAGAAAGCCAATGACCATGTTCAATCCGAAGACCAGGTGATGAACTCGGATGAACTGGGGGGAGTGACCTTGTCTCCACTAGGAAAATCAAATCCTCCAAAGCTTCGCTTCAAGTATCTTCAAGGCCCGCGGGTTGGAAGATGATCTTTCCAAACAACAACTCACTTGGACCCCGTTTGGGCGGTCTCATGTAGACCGAGGCTCTCCGAGTTTGTGGAAGAAACCCTTTTGGTCTTTCTCCAGGGTCCTGTTTTGTTGATATAGACCCTCTGTCATGGATAGAAAGCAGTAGGCAAGCAAGTTACAGGTGTATATATATATAGACTACCCCCACTACTACTCAGAATGTACTGAAAACAGTGCCACTATCTATTTGGGGACCCCTATACTATATGTGAGTTTCCGACGATGACTTGCTGGTTTGGAGGGGCTCCTAAGCCGAGCCATGAAAGAGGTCTTAGCGAAAAAAAACGCACTAGAAACTGTTCAAGCCTGATCCCATTGTCCTCGATTCTCTTCGGTTGGCTGAACACATTAAAGAACTGTGACTGGACATTTTCCGAATGACGTTAATCTATACAAACAACCGGCAAACTGCACCAAGTTTAGGATTCCTTATTGGGATAACAGCTCATTTGCCATGGACCCTGCTGCTTCTGGGACGGGCAACATAGAATGCCACCTCGCTCGGGGAAATAAACACAAACATTTTCCAGACCATCCATGTATAATACAAGCATATACTCCTACATTGACGGCTGAAACTATCCCAACTGATCGGCAAATAGGTCATACATGGAGTGTCTGGGTTATACTCTTTTCAATCCTGGAAACTGGATAACTTTACTCGACCAACTTATCTACCACATGATGTGATCTTCCCGCCATATCATATATGTTCGGATGAACTCTCCAAGTTCTGTGACATTGGGCTGCTGATACCTATATAGTTAAACAGTATGTAAAGGATGTTCTCCATGGTGCCAAGAGTAAGTGCTTCTCCATCAATGTGCTACGTGGAAGTTAAACGATGTTAAACCTATTAAAATTGGTTAATCTTAGCATCAAAAGGCCAAACAAAACCATTACATGGTGTCTGTGTTCTATTTTCAGGGGACCGGCGCCAGCTGTCCCCCAGGCTTCTTCTTGACAGGCTGCAAATACTATCCAAAGGCTGCCAGGACGAGGGGTCCTGCGCGGCGCGACGGCCATCTGGCCATCTGGTCATGGCAGTGACTAAGTCTGACTGACTGACCTTTTCTCCTAAGTTTGCGGAGCACGTGCAGTACTGGAAGCACAGTGGAGGGTCAGCATTTTCGTCGGCAGGTCACGTTTAAACTAAAATACCCACTGTGCTCAACCATCCAGATCCATCAACAAATCCTGGCTGAGATGTTGCTTTGCTTTTTCATTGGGTGCCAGTCGGCCGAGTCGGGCAGGGCAGAATAGCTCCGAAGCATCCCACTGGAACCGATAGGGCAGGAGAATTCCGCTCCGTCCACATCCTGGAAATGCTCAGGTCCAATACACCTGACCAGTCAGACGGATGAATTCACTCAAAACGGAGCTGTCATGGATTTACGAGCGTCCAGGCTATTCAGGCCCCAGAGAACTGTGGATCCGACGTTCAGTCCTCATGATCTGACCGACCATGTAAACCATCCCAATTGGGCGTGGGCGCCTGGGCTTGTTCCCATGGCTTACATGCGATGGTTTAAGGTTCGAGGGATTTCCTCTAAAATGGTACTTGAGGCCAGGGGGAGAGGTCGAAAGCTAGCCGAATCGCACCGGATGTACTAGTTACATAGTCGGCAAAGCATGTAGGGATGACATGTTTTGGGAGGAAGGTTGCTATGTACATACTTTGCGCTAAAGAATGTAAATGTGACATCGCTGACTGGGAAGGGTACATTGGAACAACCCGGGTGCACTCGTTGGCAGGCACGAAGATGCGTGATCGGCAAATCTGGGGGGTAAATTTACCCTCCGCTTTTGTATGCCTTGAGTCGGAAAGAGGGGTAAGCATTTCTGACATCATACGGACTGTACATACACTAGGGCGTCCGTAGTGTAGGAGAAGCACGGGTAAAAGGTATATGGAATAGAGTGTCTTGAGGAAATAGCCGGTGTATGGTTATTGCAAATCTGGGGGGTATATTTACCCCCCGCTTATGTATGCCTTGCGCTGGAAAGAGGGGTAAGCATTTCTGGCATCACAAGGGCTGTGCATACACTAGGGCGTCCGTAGTGTAGGATCTGGTAAAAGGTATCAAGAATAGAGTGTCTTGAGGAAATAGCCGGTGTATGGTTATAGCAAGCCTGGGGGGTAAATTTACCACCCGCTTATGCATGCATTAGGTTAGAAATAGGGGTAAACAACTTGTAACGGTGAAGTACAAGTCCTATGCAGCAAGCAGCAGCCAGCAGCAGCAGCAGCAGCCGCCTGCAGCCAGCAGCAACCACCAACCAGCAGCCAGCCAGCAGCACCACGCAGCAGCAGCGCAGCATCAAGCCGCAGCAGCAGCAGCACCACCGGCAGCAAGCAGCAAGCAGCAGCAGCAAGCAGCAAGCAGCAGTAGCAGCGGCGTCGTCAGCAACAGCAGCAGCAGCACCAAGCCGCAACAAGTAGCAAAGCAGCAGCTACAAAAGCGGCAACCAGCGGCAGCAGCAAACAGCAGCAGCAAGCAGCAGAGCGGCAGCAGCAGCAGCACCCTTTACACCAAGCCACCGTTACACCCAACCAACCACGTTCACACGTTCAACCAACCCCCTACACGGCGCAGCTGGGAGTTGAACCGCGGGGGGGGGGGGGTTAGCTTGATATATCAATCTTTAAGGCACGCAGCCCCTCCCACCACAACATTGCTAAAGCAAAGAAGAACTCAGCTAGCATGCTAGCTTTCGTGATGACCAGGAGGAGCCAATGGGATGGGTTTTGGTCCCCAAGTGAGTGGATAGTGCGCATCCCTATCCTCCAAGTTCAGCACCCGTTGTGAGTCCAGGTATAAGACCTTTGTTGACCGACTGCTCTACAGGTTTTCTAGGACACCACCCATGACACAATCCCCCACACAGCGGATCCCGATCCCTGTCGTTTGGGGTGTCAGATCCAGCGGGTCTTCCAGCCTGCTGGAAACTCCCAGTGCACTGGAGTCTGTTCAAACTGTGTCTTCATTTTACCACCTGGTCTTCAGCATGTGTCTTCTGAACATAGTCTTAACATTGAAGTCTTCTCAAAAAGGAACGTTAAAGAGAAGACTGTTAAACCCTAGGGGTCCAAGTACCTTGTCAGAAGGTGATGTGTTCGACACCGTGAAAAAAAGGTGCCAGAAGGGTTCAGTCGTACCTTCCGAGGTTCGGTACGACTGGATCCGTAGGGAAAATGCATGTTAAGACCTTTTTGCCTCCTGTTGTGCACTACTCCGGAGTTCCGGAGCAAAGGTCCTGCTCTTCGATACGGTAGAGGCGCTTGTACTCGTAGCTGCTCACCCCCACCTGCCCGAGGTCCGCGGTGTCAATGTGGACACTCAAAACCGACTCAAAACCAACTCAAACAACCATATGCGACTTTTGGACTGTGAAAGGACGGTATGTTTCAAGCACGTTACGAAAGAAGCGATGCTCTCCACCGTGCCCCCTTCCACCCGTTTTGCTTCCGTGCCTTGCCCTGCTGCGCCAGCTCGCGGAGCCGTTGCGAGGGCACGAAGACCATGACCGAGTGCCGGTAGGACCTCGGCGCGACCCTGCGCGACCGGCGTGGAAAGGCAGTTTGGGTTGGAATGGATGTCTAACATAAGGGTTTTCAAAGTATCAAGGTTTATAATACATGTTCCCTAAGGATCCAAGTACCCTCTGAGAAGGTGTTTGGGGTGGGTTTGGAGGGTCCAAGTACCTTTTGAGGAGGTACTTGGATCCCTAGGGGTTGTGGTTGAGAAGAATTGAACGAGGATCCGACAGTGCCATTGGGTTCTGTTGTTTGGTCCATGTTCTGGGTCCTTTCTGCTGCCAAGCTGCATGTCATTTGCCACAGCCTCCAGTTGCTGCTGCCGCTTTCGGTTCTTCTCCACAGCAGCTTCGGCCTAGCAGCGCGCGCTGTAAGCGGGCGCATGCGATGATTGGATGGAATTGCGTGGGCATGGGTCACAACCCGGTGACCAAACTGACCATTCTATGTGTACCAGAGGTCGGTACGCCCAGCATAAGCTTTGAAGCCTTTTCTTTGGAAAAAACAACGGCTTCATGGATGTCCATGTCCAAATCATTCCAAAAAGGCCTGAAGCTTTGGTGTTCCTTCTTCGCTCCGTTCTAGCGCCAAGAGCCGTTTGGATGAGCTACCAGTATTTGGGGGCCTCAGGGGTTGTTCGGAACATCCGTTGACCGGTGTTGGGGGGTTGTTCCGGGCTCCTCCATGAAGGCACCTTCTTCGGTCAACTGTCATGTCCCAACTTCTCCGGGTTTGAGCTGTCGTGAGCTGTCCAGCTGTCCCTCAAGCAGGTCAAGCAGCAGGTTGTTTCCACATGACACGCGCTTGGTTTACCTCAAGTTTGAGGCCTTAGGTCTTTAGGTGGAAGCGCTCCCTGCCTTGCAGGCAGCGGCCAACTTGTCCTTGAACTGGTGCATGTTGTCGCCCAAGTAGATCTGGATGTTGTGATTCATGCCGGGACCATCCTTCTCCTGCCAAACAATAACTCCAACAAAAACTGAAGTACGCCAACAATTTACTTTACGTAATGATACTTAATAATAGGGAAGTTGCGTTGGTCTCCGTTTCACACGTACACAGCTAGGTTGCGAACATGCTTAGAACTTGAAATCGCAGGTGACTGTTGAATACTGTTGATTGGTATATTTGGAGGACAGTTGTCTGCCATCAGGGTCAATACACCTTCCTTCCCTAAGAATCTGGGCCTCAAACACATAGGGATTTGAGGGTCCAGACATGTCCAGACCACTGCGGATTTTAGGGCACCCTTGCCAGGGAGGGCCCGTTCGGATTCTTAGGGTTCAAATGTGGGGGAGGGATGAAGAAAACTCCGTGGTGATGCCACATGGGTCTCGGCTGAGCCATGTTTTGCAAGACATGCCACTCGGCTGAGCTGTTTTTCTTCTCATTCCCGCCCATCCAGTGCTCACCACGTGGAAGGTTGTTTTCCAAGTAGAATGGACATATAATGGACCATCGTCATCCATCTTTGCTGAAAGACCGGGCCGATGTGTGTAATCCCGAGTGTATCTGTCTGCGTCTGTGGCTGTGAGTGGCTGTGCGGGTGTGGTGAAGCCTCGCCTTCGTATCCTTCGGTCCAAAGTACATGCGCAATTCCTCCTTGTTACCCAAGACCTTGGCGACGGATGTCGCTACCTACGGATCTCGCTATCCCGCATGTCATTGGATCTGGGCCCCCTTTCAATTCCTTCTGATTCCTCGTGAATAGACTCAATTGACCAGAGTTTGGTTCAGAAAGCGCACCTGTCACCCAACCTTGTGCAGAAAAGTCAACCCCCCAATGAACTTGTAGGATGGCCACTCTGAGACACCCAACTGACAGGACGGCAACTGCAATTAGTCACTCAAAATCACGTCGCAAGTCTCAAATGATCTCCACAATAAGGATCCAGTCGTACCCTCTGAGAAGGTGTTTGGGGTGGGTGCCAGGAGGATACAAGTACCTTTTGAGCACGTACTTGGAATGTCTGTGGTAGCTGATGTGATGACCTCACACAACTGCCAGATCTTCTGGGTCGATACCTCGGAACCCAAGTCACGCGGCTCAGGCCGCATGGAGATTCGGTCTTATTGAATGAATGCTGACACCACTTCCATGGCCTCACCTCGCCGGGCCCCATCCCAATCCAATCGCTATGTATATAGACCACCCAAAATGGATTGAATGGTCGACCTACCGAAGCACCATTGTTTTACGATTTTGCACTGCACAACCAGGTCAATGTTCGTCTTGGAAGGCTAGGGATTATAAATAGAAAAGTAGGTCCCCACTTGAAATGTATTGGAAACCGCTTCTATCCATTTGGATTGGGGACCTCTATCATTGGATCTATAACTGGGAACCCGCCTGTGAAACCAACCCACTCAGCGCAGCCGCTTTTTTTCTTCCCGCCCCTCAAACAAGCACCGCAGCTGTTTGAGGGCCGTCAAGCCAGCCGTGGTCGGCCGAACCAATCGGCGGTCGTGGTCCATTCTGGAGCACGCCGGCGGGAGTGGGTTTCTGACTTGAGTCAGGAGTGGGGAGGACAGGAGAAAAGCCAATTCCAGGCTCCGGTCTGAAACTTGGGCTGTCTTGGAAACTTCGACCATCAACAAATCGACCCATTCTCGTCGTGAAGAATGCGTGAGCTGCTCGGTGCATTAAGCTGGAGTCACATATGTCATATGCATCCTGAAGCACACGCATATGCCCAAAAACATGCGCATGATCTGACGTTGCTCATGTCGCCCCGAGTGCTGGCAAAGTCGATGAAACACCGGTCTTATTCACCTGTTTGAGTTGAGGAGGGGTCCATCAATTGCTCAAACAGAACCCTACAGTGCCCTACACGTCCAAGACCGCATTTCACTGCAGTTGCTCATAATTACACTCAAGAAAAGGCTACTCAATGAGCTAGGTCGGACCAGGTCTTTGTGGTTTTTGGACCTGTAGGGGAGTGCGTCAAATCCCCGAGAACCATGAAGGATTGTAACGAACATGTCGGGCCCCCAGCAGGTGTTCGCCGCGAACCCATTTTGGGGGAACGAACGTGTCTATGATATGCTGGAGTTTCTACTTCCGGCCCGGGCTTGCCCGGGTCCATCCTGCATCCTGCATCCACCACTGGCACTCTGTGGCCAAAGGCCCAAAAGGCTGATCCACTTCGGAATCCCCAGGGCCAGTTTGCCCCCGAACTCGCTCCCCGTGTGAGGAACATGGAGGGCAGTTGGTTAACCTTAAAATCATCCAGGGGAGACCTCCAGGGCGGCGCCTAAAAAAAGGATTTCTGCCCAAACTCTGACTGAACAGGACCATGCACAACACCCAAATCGGCCAGCGAGCTTGCCTGTGGCGAGCTTTCTGATGGAACAGGTTTCATCGATTTCGTGGAGGCTGGCCACCCCGGTTTTTCACCCAGTTTCACGATTCAACTTTCATCGATCCAGCGGTAAAAGCACAAGGAATCGACCCGCGCAGGCTTCGCGCGCGGGTCGTGTTCTTTGTTCAAAGGGCGATCGCGGGAGGATCGCGGTAAAAGTTGCGGTTGGATGAGCTGTTGTTTGGAAAAAAATTCGGGGACCCGCGGCGGAGGACTCGTCAGAACCGCCAGTTCGTTCTATTGATGGTCGATGTGAGCGACCAGCAAGGATTTGCTTCAACCCTATATCTATCGGACAAATCAATTCCACTCATGAACTAATGCCATATGCTGTATGCTTGCATATGCTTGCTATGTGACTCTCTGGGAAGCACTCCTTCATCGTTCTTCTCTTTCTTCAGGGTTTTTCGCATCGGGCAGGTCTCGTTGCCCCGAGCAGGTCACATCGAGTCTCAGCAGGGTCATGGCTCAGTTGATGAGCCGGTTGGCGTCGCTCGCCGTCAAGTTGGAGCCAAACTCATACCTGATGATGAAAGATTTGATGGATTGGTGGGTTGCGGGTTGTGGCTTGTGGGTTTGGGTTGTGGGTTGGGTTGGCTAGGTTGGGTTGGCTAGGTTGCTTGGCTTTACCGCGATTGGGATGGTTATTGCATTCCCACCAAATCGGGTGATGTTCTGAACAGGCCATCATTCTTGCAGGCGTTTTGCGGGAAAGGGTGGTGGTGTCCAAGACGTCTGTCACACACCCCTCAGGTCCCAATGAACCTCGCAACTGGGCGAGCGCCATGCGAGCCTGCCTTTGGAAGGAGAGCCGGTCCGTCGGACCCATTCCTTGAGTTCACTAAGATTCAGATTGGCAATCAAACGGCTTTAACAGTTGTACACACTATACACATTGACATGCTCTCCAAACCGGCAGAAAGAGGTTCTCAATCACCACAGGTCACCCTCCCTCCAGTGCACCATGAGAAAGCGGGACTTTGTGCCGACCTCTGTTACAGGAAGAAGCATGTAGAAGCATCCCCTTCCATCTTCCATGTGCCTTCCATGGCCCTTGACCTTTTCACCTAGCTCCTTTTCACCGCTCCTCGACCAAGACCCGAGGGCACTCCTCCTGCTGGCCGTCCCAGTCCAACTGCCACTGATTGAAGCCTCAAAAACCCGATCGGATGGATGCCGACAAGGTGTCAAGGGCCGTCCCATTCTTAAACTCAATAGAATGTCCGCCTTAGAGTAGCTTTCTGATGCAGGTGATGCACTGACCCCTTCACGCCTTGCATCTACCGCATCACCAACCCACCAAACATTGCCAGCAGCCCAACTCGGTTTGCATACACTTTACCCAGCCTGCTCCCCAGACCCCTTGAAGACTCACTTTGTTCGCAAAAAATAGCTTCAGCCTAGCCTATCGGCTGGCTTTAGTGATGTTACAACATATATCTCAATGACCATCTCAATCTTAAATTCAATTGGCTTCTCGGGATTATGAGACGTCAATGCTTACAGTGCCTCAAGCTCTTCACACTGATGGTTGATTCGAAGTCACATGCCAAGGAAATGATGCATCGGGGCATAACAAACAGCACTGTGGTACGTGCCAGTAAAACACTCAAGAGGTTCTGTTTTCGTTGCATGTGGTTCTGGGGAACATTTTTGCGTCTGGAGGGGACTGGAGAAGAATTCAACATGGTTTGCAGCATCAAGAAACTAGCACATACGAGTACTAGCACATTAGCTGGCCAAACCCCGGCTTGACCTTTTGTTTTTCGTCAGCAGGTGGCTTACAGCCTTCTCAGCCTTAGAATGATATGTTGTCTTCTCTCGTGTTTGAAGACCCATGAGACCTCATGAGACTGTATACGAGAGCCGTAATTACCTCATTCCAATGCAGAGTGGTTTTGCGAAAGTCTTGGCTTTCTTCCACACAGAACTCCCAGGATCTCTACACTGCGATATGCTAGCTCGAGGGATCGTCCGACTACAAACTGCTTGCTCCGTCACGAACCCGCTCGTTTTGGGAGTGCCAACACATCAACACTGGCAGGATATATGCGCCGATGGTTGCCCCCCGTGAGAAAAGGACCACAGATTGGAACATTTAATTAGCGCATCTTCCAATCGAACGTTCGAACAACAGGTCACAAGCCAACCAAACACCAGCTCCAAATCCGAACGATGGTCACCTGGATGAGCCATCAATCAGTGCTGGCCAGGCTGGCCAGCTTTCAACTGATCCATGCAACCAGAAACATGCTTCCGCAACTGCCACTTGTGGTGATCATATATGTCATCATGGGCCATGGAAATCAAACAAATAACGATTCTATAGCAGGAATCGACTCGGTCAGGTCACCACCTGCGACTTGTAAGTCACTTCTATAAAGGCCACCAGTTCGTAGACCTGTAGAGTCGGGTCCAGGTATACATCGCTCCTTGGGCCCCCGGAACCTCCTCCAAACGGAACGTACCACCGACCCGTGCAGGTCGCTTTCACCCGACTGCTTCAACAAACCCGGGCCGCCGAAGCGTGGGTTGTCCAGGCGAGCGGAGATGAAGAAATCCTGGGTGAAACGGTCGAAAAGACTTGTGTTATTTAGATTCGGCGTTCACCGTCGATATAGGTTCATAACCATTCATAGGCCCTGGTTTTCCAACTATGGGTGGCCCTTTTTGTCATCAGAACCCATTGGGTGGCCTAGAGTCTCTGTTCGAAATCGATGGATGTTAGATGTTCTGCTTGGATTCTCCATATGGGAAAGGACCGGACCGATCTGTTGCCCGGCCGATCCGCCAAGCTCGTTCCACCATGGGAGACCGGTCAGTCTCTGAAACCTCCACATCAGTCCGATTGACCGGCAAAGCTCAGTAGCTACCAGACGTTACCCCGTGACCAAGAGCCAACACTGTGAAGTGACCCGGACGGCTGTGAAGTGCGCTCTTCACCACCAGTAGATTGAATACCTTTGAAGTTCCCGCGTCCATGACCAAGAGCCGACTTGTGAAAGTGCACGTTCTCCCCTCGTTCTACAGGATTTCCATGGTCGGCACGCAGGGGCCATGCCATCCACTTTCGATTGTAGGCACCCTCACCGACCATGTTCCGCCGTTTCGTCCGAAGGCACGGCGTTGGTGATGGCATCGAAGACGGGCAGCTTGGTCTCGGCACGCAGGGCATCTGCGTAGGGAGGCAGCTCGGTGCATTCGAGGCAAATGGCACGGATGGAGGCGTGCTTCTTGAGGATCTGCTTCACCTTGGCTTCCAGTTTGGGGAACTCATGTGCTTCGGAGCGGTGTTTTTAAACAAGTTTTTTTGGAGGGCTGGGTTTGAGATCTTTTTAAGTGTATATAGTGTTGTGGTTGCATCATGCTGTTGATCTGTTTGGCTTGCAGCTTGAAGTTCGGAAGCCTGGAATGAAGTTCGGTGCGTCTTCGAGCCTTCCGGATCGACTTTCTGACCCTTTGGGCGACAGGGCCGACGGGCCGACGGAGAGGGTCTGCGCATGCAAAGCAAAAACCAAGCGCCTGAGAGAAACACATACCAGCACCGACGGCCAACAGGTCACCAATTGAAACCTGTGACAGGGCCCTGGAACCAACCCTCCATTTCGGAGACCTGTTGGGTTCGGTGCTGGCAGTAGAAATGGCAGAAGTCCCGTGAAGCCTGATGCGTCCACCTTACCTTGCTACGAGCTGTAGGTGTTGGACACTATAGAGGACCTGCTAGGAACCTGGCTCCGCCGACACCTTTCCGATTCCAGGAGCCATGTACACGATTCCAGGGGTGACGTATTCCACGTCCACCTTCTTTCCCTTGGCCACGGCATCAAAGCCTGAAGCGGCCACACAGGCAATGCCCGAGCTCCCATGGTCTCATGTCAAAACTGGTTGAGCGGAGAAAAGGTCGTCCAAACCCAACCAAAAAGTCGTTACAAGTATGGGGACTATAGATCGAAATAGGACAGCAATTTGTCCTGAACTCTTAAGACTCAAACCTGTTGCGTCTTATTTTCGTTATTTTGTATAGAGGCTTGTACTATTGACCTCCAGGTTTGTCAGAAGTGACGGGGTCTGGCAACATTCCATCTGCCCAATATCTGCTCCCAGTGGATCTGGATCCCAACATCCGTCCCATCTAGTCTAGTCCCATTTGATTCACCCTGGATCCACCCCGGTCCTCGATTCATGCGGTCCTCTCCGGGTCTCTTCATCCCTTCCTCTTCGTCCGTTCTCCGTTCTCGAAAACCCGCCCGCCTGGCACATCTTGGCATCCCACGATCAAGAAGCGCCGATCGTCCACGTTGAAGCCGCATTGCCGGAGCAGCGTCACCTCCGGCGGCTTCACGCGGGCGATCGGTCGCGTTTGCAACGCTCCGGTCGTTCGGATGGAAGCCAAGGGAGGCGGGAACCGTTTTGGAAGGCAAATTGAGTTCGTCCAAGCTTTCCCTCACCATGCGCACCATCAACTCTATATTGGTTGGGTATATCCCATTCCCTGTAACAGTGGATGATGCTTAGTACCTAGTATACTGAGGATCAATGACTTAGGACTTGTTGGTACCAATGACATGGGAGTTGTGTTTTTGAGCATACCTCCGACAAATCCTATGCCAGTGGCGGGTAGTATAAAGGCCTTCTTCCAACACCATTCGACGGTTGCAGGTCTCGGACACCGGCCGTCTCGCGCGCCAGGTCCGGCCTTCTGTGGCTTCAGGGTCTCCTCGTTGGCCGTCAAGATGAGGACCTGGCACGGCATCCCGTTCCGGTGGTGTTCCGAAGCTGAAAAGTATCATAGGAAAATGAAAAGGGATCAGAGAGTTTTATGCTATCTCATCATATACCATCATATTCGACCCACTTCCATCCAAGAGAGTGTGCCACCATTCAGTGATGTCAACATGATTTTAGTGTGATTCAATGCTCACATTCATCGGTCCTGGATGCGGCCTCCCTTTGTCACCCTTTTTCAACTTACCGTGGCCAGCAGCACAGGTGGTGTAGGTCTTGGAAGATGTTTTTGGGGGTCCACGTGGATCACGGTGGGTGGATCGTTGGGTGAAGCACCTGTTGCTTTCCCGGAAGGTACGACCGACGACCGAGGGACGACCATCTACAGATCTGGTGATCCGGTGACTGCAGCTGACTGCAGGACGACCGTTGGGACCCTCGCAGGAGTGGTGCCTCTTCCAGGTGGTCTTACCATCCGACCCTCGCAGGTGGTCTTCCAGGTGGGTGTGTTTGGGGGGTCTAACCACCGAACCTGAGGAATATGGTTGGAGCCCTATAGGGATATATTGATGAGTGCTCGACCACGCCAGGTCCCGGTCCAACTCTACTTCTACAGGAGAATGTAGTGAACTTCTCTATAGCTAGTCTGTCGGTGGGTGTGAGTCCCGCCGCTTCGCAGGAAACGACGGAACCTCACACCGTGACAGCCTCTCCATCACGACTCACCATCCAACGGCACAAAAACGAGGGCTCCGGAAAAACAAACAAACACACCCAGACGGTAGGTAGACTCTTAATTAGTAAACCCTCCGCCCTCCCATTTGAATTGGACATCCTCTTCATCATGGTGGGTGAAATGTACTGTAATCAATTCATCTACATGACCAACATCAGCTTGTTTTCACAGGCTTTTAACCGCCTACTACACCACTTCACTTGGTAAAGAATTAGTCTACATGAAGTCAAGTCTCTTGGCCTTGTCATACTTGTCGAATGCGATGGAGATCATGGGGCACTGCATCATGGCACCTGATCACCGTCATTTGGCTCGAAAGCGACGGTCGTAGGACAAACCGGTGCCTGCCATCAGGGCCAGGGCTGGCACTTGTTCGCACCGCCCAGGGCTGGTCACCGGCGGTACTCCAACCATAGCCAAACTGCATCAATGTATGCCATATATGCCAACATTGACCCCCAAAACCACCCCAACTGATCGGCATATACCAGGACCTTCCAACAGGTGGTTCTTAGACACCGCTTCACCTCTTAAGAGGCTGTGAATAGACACCTCTTGGAAGGTGCTGGTATATGGCCTACATGGAGTGTCTGGGAGATGGAATCCATAGAGAAATCCCAGTGCGCCGCCCGCCGTTCTCCGTCCACGCCGCGGACGGTGGCCAGTTTACAGGTGAACGACAGTGCCGTTCAGCCTGAGCGGCCTGCTGGCCACTCAAAAGGCCAATAACAACGCTCAACACTCTTTGCGCTTCCTGTCTGGGTGTCCTGTCTGGTGACCTATAAGCAGTGTAGGGTTGTCCGGAAGCAGCTGGATGCATGGAAAACTAGGCGTGGTCGTCCATGAGTTGCTCAAGTGATGCAAAATGATGCCAATGAAACTTCTGCGTCACCGAGAAATCTCCATCTAAGGGAAGACATGTTCCCCTTGACAAGCAATTGGTGGGGTTTCCCGATGGGTTCATATCCCAACAATATTTATCAATAGATATCAACAGCATTCAATAGCGCTCCCACACCAAGCAGTCCACGTACTCCCCAAGTCAGGGTTAAAGCCTTTATCTTAGCATCTGCCAGAAGATTCAAGAGCATCTCCCCTTCCCGTCTCGCTCTTAGAGTCCGCATCTGTTCCCAGGGCACTCATGAAGACGGGCACCGAGGAATGCTTCGACGCCAAGGGCTGGAAGGCCATCCTATTTTTCCGCCCGACCGACCAAACCCCAACGACGCGAACGACCCGAACGACGCGTTCGTTCTGAACGGCTCGGGGGTGGCCATGGGCGCAGAGATCTGAACGACTTCGGTGGGTGGCGATGAGATGGGTCTTGGGGCTCCAAATCCCTCCGGTCACGGGTCCATCTGCCTCTGAAAATTCTCAGCACCCCGAGGTCTGGGCTTCGTTTTCACGGCCGGAAACCACTCCTTTGTCAGGCACAAGGGTCCCAGAAGGTCCATGAGCATCCGAATCGGACGTCCGCTGCAACGCCCCAGTTCGACCATCTGAATCGGAAGTACGAACTCAGTCACCTCCAAGACCATCAAGAGGTACCTGGACCTTATGGGAAAGTATTAAACGTCTTTTTGAGTGGATGGTGTGAACGCGATGTTGCTTGACCAACTGGCCCTGTTCCACTTGCATGTGCGGGAGTCGGAAACCCTGCTGACAGACTACTTGTACTAGCGGATCACGAGCTTGCACACCAACGCTCACAGAAAGTGGACACATGTAACCCTCATCTGGCGCTCGTCAATCAAGACCACTATTGAGTCAGTGACCACACAAATCTCAGACCAACAGGGATGAAAAAACAAATCACCCACCCTTGCTCCATCCAGTTCCACACGACTGAGGCGCATGAAGCCGCAATCGCCGGTGATGCCGCTCACACCACGCATGTTCAGCCATTTCACTGCCTCGATGAACCTTGTGAACGACGACGTTGCACCGTTGGAAACCCTTGAAGTAACAGTTTCAACATTTTACTGATCAATGGATTGGTTATATAAAGGATGTGAAAGGGAATATATATATATATATGATCCACTCTCACTGCGCCAGCATAGCGCATTCTTTTTCATGCAA